TATATATAAAATATATATATATATATAAAATATTCCAGGGGGGCTGGAATTTGAACTATGGTTAGCCATGTGGAATACAGCTCCCTGAACCACTAGGCTATGAGTCAGTCCTGGGATTAATTAAATTCTTAATGTTCTGAAAGTAAAATGAAAGAGTATGCTTGAATAACAAGTGAGTTTCCATTTTGCAAAAGAGAATAAAAGCAGGACCAGCAGTTAGTGTAATGGCTATGTTGCTGGACTCTCATGTAGTCAACCACGATTTGAGTCCCGGACCTGGTGGCATAAACTCATGCTGGGTGCATGTGCGTGCGTCCCCAAGATCCCGAGAGGAGAAAGGAGAAGAAGGGATTGCGGCATGGCCATCCCCCTTGGGGGGTGATTTCTCACTTTCTGTCTCTCTCTTTTTGGTAAGCACATGCGCCCTATAGCAAAAACCTCTCAAAAATATTAAAAAAAAAAAAAAAGGGAAAAAAGCCTATAAGCAAAGCCAGAATATTGCACTCTAAGGGAATCTTCTGCACTGAGCAGAGGAAAAATCTCTAGGACAGCCATTGTGTAGAGTGCCAGGGCATATTTCTTGCTACTTACTATTAATATTAGTATAGTAATAAGACCTTACAATTATACAGTATTTCTAATTTTGTGAAGTCTTCATCTGCTTTAATTCTTTAAAAACAAACACCTTCATGGGACTAGCAGATGGCATTGTGGATACTAGTTACATAGCTGAACTCCCACATGACTGACCACAGTTCAAATCCTGGATCTGGAGACTCGAAACTCATGCCATGTGCATGTGCGTGCTTCCAAAATCCTGAGAGGAAAACAGAGGAGACAGGATTGCAGCATGGTCATCGCCCCGGGGGTGATTTCTTGCTTTCTGTCTCTGTCAAGCATATGTGCCCTATAGCAAAAATCTCTTAACCAAAAAAAAAGAAAAGAAAAAAGAAAGAAAAAATGAAAAAGCAAACGAAAACAGAAAAAACCTTCAGAAGGCCAGCAGATGATATGGCCCCCAGGTGGGCTGAATCACACATGGTAGACTGCACGGTTTGAGTCCCAGACCCATTGGCTCAAAAAACATGCCAGGTCTGTGTGCATACATGCCCAAAGTCCTGAAAAGAGCATAGAGGAAAAGGGATTGCGTAGTGGCTGTCCTCCCTGGGGTGTGATTTTTCATTTTTCCTCTCTCTCTCTCTCTCTCTCTCTCTCTCTCTGTCTCTCCCTCTCTCCAGTGAATGCAGCACACCCTATAGCAAACTAAAAAATATTACCACCTTTAGAGAAAGGTATGACTATGCCCATTTTTTGCCAAGGAAGATACAAGTCTTGGAAGGGTTAAAGGTCTTGCTCAAGGTCATACACTATACAGGACCAGGAACAGGATTCTGTGCTTTTTTGCTAAGAATTATTTACTGGTCAGTCCTATCTGGATCAGAGGCTTCTGTGTTGGTTTCTCTTTCTCTAGAGCCAGTAAAGATTGCTTTTCTTTATAATTTTCTGAATTACAAGTGGTAGGTTTCTATGTGAGAACATAATTATCTTTAGATGGTAGTGAACAACATTTCAAAGAATTGAACAGAAATTTTTCTATGCTTTTTCTTAGAATTATTTATTTAATTTTTTTTATTCGTTTATTTATTTTAATTTGCCCAGAGATAGACACAGAGAAAGAGGGAAAATGAGTAAGCAAGCCCCCAGGTCCAGGACTTGAACTGTGGTCAGCCATGTGGGAGTGTCCAGCACCCTAACCATCATGCCACCTCCTGGTTTCTCTACCCTTTTTTCATGGTTCAAAAGACTCAGTATTACTTTTCTTTTTTTTTTTTTTTCTTTTGTAGAGAGATTTTTTTGGTATAGAGCACATGCACTCACCAGAGAGACAGAGAAACAGAAGCGAGAAAGCAGCCCCCATGGAGGATGGCCCATGCCATATTCCCTTCTCCAGACTCCGTTTGGGCATGCACCCACATGTGCCTGGTATGAGTTTTAAACCACTAGGTAGAGGACTCAACCTACGGTCAACTATGCGGGAGTCCAGTACCATTATGCCATCTGCTGGTCCCAGAAGACTCAATTTTTTTTTTTTAGAGGTTTTTGCTATAGGGCATGTGCGCTCTCCAGAAAGACAGAGAGAGACAGAGAGACAGAAAGTGAGAAATCACCCCCCACACACACACAAGGGAGATGGTCACGTCACAATCCCTTCTCCTCCATTCTCCTCTTGCGATCTTGGGCACGCACGCACACGTGCCCGGCGTGGTTTAAGCCCCCAGGTCTGGGACTCAAACCGTGGTCGACTACATGGAAGTCCAGTGACATAGCCATTACTCCAACTGCTGGTCCCAAGGCCCAATATTTCTAACATTATACTTTTCTTCAATTTTATTTTATTTTATTTTTGCCAGAAAGTGAATTCACTTGCCAGAAAGAGAGCAAGCACTCCCCTGTGGGACATGATCAGATCACAGTCCCTTTCCCTCCACCTCTCCATCCTGTTGGGATCTGAGGCATGTATGTACATGTGCTTGGCATGATTTTCAAGCTGCTGGACCCTGATCTTAACAATGGTTGGCAACGATGGATCTGGCTCCTTTAATCTCTAGGCAATGGTGCTAGCCCCTAACATTGTACTTAAGCACTCAGATTTGTTAAGGAAAAAGTTTTCACTGATTAATAAACAAGAAATAAGGGACCTACATGTTCATCTTTAACTACTGTAATCTTCTGTATGGTAAACTTGATTTTTTTCATTAATTTTAGGGAGATGACACTTTACTTGTCCCCATCCATGCCTATCCTGTCATGAACACACTGGATTTTCCCTCATTTATAAATCTATCAAATGTTCTTCTTGGAGAAAGGTGAGTTACGAAACAAACTACCATAGTATTTGAAAGTTATGAGAGGCTTGGGCCAGCAGGTGGCATAGTGGTTAAGGTGTTGGACTCCCACATGGTTGACCAAGGTTTGAGTTGAGACCCAGTGGCTTGCAACTCATGTGGGCATGTGTGCATGCGTGCACAAAATCCTAAGAGGAGAATGGAGGAGAAGGGACTGCTGTGTGGCCACACCCCTGGGGGGTGATTTCTCACTTTCTCTCTCTGTGTGTCTGTGGCAAGTGCACATGCCCTATAGTTATGAGAGATTCATGCATCTCTCATATGCTTTTCTTAATGGAAATTATTCTTCCATCTGAATTGGACAAGACTTATAGTTGCAAAGACAGAAAGAAAAGCCCAAGTCAAAATATTATACCAAGAGTCCAGATGGTGGCACAGCAGTAACCCAACTGGACCACATGGGAAGGTCCTGAGCTTACATCCAGGGCCTCCCCGTGCATGTCCATGCCTGTGATCTGTCCTGACCCGAGGGACAGTCGAACAGGTTTCCTGAGGGAAGGAGAGAGAGACGGGATGAGCATCACAGTGTTACAACTCTTCAGGGTCGTCCGGAGACGACGCAGTGCCACAGCTCTTCAGGGTCTTCAGGGTCCTCTGGTGATTGTGGGCCAGAGATTGTGGTTATATACATGTTGGTGGGCAGTGATTGGTTGAATGAAGGATTGTAAAAGGTGGGTTATGATTGGTTGCTTTTTTTTTTTGGAGAGGTTTTTTTTTTGCTATAGGGCACGTGCGCTTGCCAGACAGACAGAGAGAGACATAGAGACAGAAAGCAAGAAATCACCCCCCAGGGGGGATGGTCACGCCGCAATCCCTTCTCCTCCATTCTCTCGGGATCTTGGGCATGCACGCACACATGCCCAGCGTGAGTTTTAAGCCACTGGGTCCGGGACGCGAACCGCAGTCGACTACGTGGGAGTCCAGCGACATAGCCATTACACTAACTACTGGTCCCATGATTGGTTGCTTTTGTGGACCAATCATGAGGTGCCGGATATGCAAATCTGAAGGATTCTAAGCTCACCGATTTGCTATGGGAAGTGGCCAATCAGAGTATGGTTTTGAAGGTGAGGTTTTGAAGGGGAGCCAATTGTGGCCTTTATGGGAAGTGGCCAATCAGAGTATGGTTTTGAAGGTGAGGTTTTGAAGGGGAGCCAATCATGGCCTTTGGCATTGTGTAAGTGTTTGCTCTCTGAGAAACAGGCGATATTCGCTGGTGCGCAGCCTCCCACAGTGATCCACACTGATTGGGGCTGGATATGGATCCTGGTATGAGATCCTGTTGGAGCTGCCTGTCTCTTTCTCTCTCTTTCTCATGATAGAAATAAATAATGATTTTATATATAATATGTACATACATGTACACATACAAGAAAGGAAATTTGTTGAGTCCTTTAACTGCAAACACCTTCCCGTAGTCCCAAATTGCTAGGTGTTAGCTCCTCAGCTGCCAACTTACTAAGAAGTAAGGGGGGCAAGGAGCCAATAGCTGGGGTGGTGGGATGAGGGACTCATTATACATGTACACATTTTCCTGTTTTTAGATAAAGGGAAGAAAAAGACAACAGAAATGCACTATAAAAGTCAAACATCAGATTCTCCCCTTCTTTTTGTTGGGAAAATGGTTAATGATTTCTTGAAACTTAAAATATGTATTGTTCTTTCAGGAAATAGTCATTAAATGTCTACTATCCATTGTAATACTGTCTGTCCCTTAGGCATGTAGAAAAGATGGATATTGATCTGTTGGATATCGATATATGATAGCCTTGCCAGTTATTAAAATACTAAAATACTTTTTGACTGAAGGAAAAATGTATACATGTACACTGAATTTCCCAACCTTCCACCCCAGCTATCTAGCCTATTTCCTGCTCCCCTCACCTCCTAGTGATTTGTCAGTGAAGGAGTCAAGACTTACCAACTGGTATATGTTAACTGGAGACATGCAATGTCTCTCTTTCATAGCCTAACTTGCTTCACTCAGCAACAAATCTTCCAAATTCATCCACTTTCTATCAAATTTCAGGGCCTTGTTGTTTTTTATGGCTGAATAGTATTCTATGGAGTATATGTGCCACAATTTTTCAATCCATTCATCTGTTTGTGGACATTTGGGTTGGTTCCACTTAACATGTACTGACTGTCTACACTCTATGGTAGAGACTGAAAGACTGGAGAACATAAAAGTATTAAAAATTGTAATGGACACTAGAGAAAAGTGGAAAGAGAGTGTGAGAAGGGAAGAGCATGGGAAATTTGGGAGGAAAATGGAGAGGTAAGGCACTTGTGGGACACAGATTATTATCTGTTGATGAGGATGTGTACGGTGATCTCAATTGGGCTGGACTGAGGTGTATATCATGCTGGGTAAAGTCTCTTCACAATGTAAATGATGTATAGCGATTTACTGTATGAATAATAATAATAAATATATAAATTTAAAAATGTAAAAAAAAAAACAAAAAAAAAAACCCTTAGCAACTGGAGGTGGGGGGTTCTGCAGGACCTGGTATCCACTCTGTTGAGATAGGTCAATAGTTTGACTATTATGCAGGGTGAAAAGATGACTAGACAAAGGTTCTGGTTCTGAAGGTCTCAGAGTCCATATCCAAGAGTCAGCTCCAGTCTCAGCTAACCTGGATCATAGGCACATGTATGAGCCCCTGGTGTCCTCAGGGAGGGCTCAGGATACAAACCTGGGACCCTTTTCATGTAGTCCAGCTGCCGAAGAGAGTTTCTGACTCACCATGTCTGTTTACTTGTTTTTTTTTTAAATTGTAGTGAATACTATATACAAAAGAGTATTTAATGATTTATACAGCTTAAAGAATAATAAATACTACTTTTTAAAAATGAAATATGACCTTAGCAGCCACTGCTCTAAATTTTATTACAGTCATTTCCTGGATTTACTCAATAGTTTTGGTTTTAACACATACAGCCCTAAACAATACATTGTTTAGCTTTGCCAGTTTTTGATCTTTGTGTAAATAGAACCATGCTATACGTAAGTTCTTTTGTAACTTGCTCTATTTAACTCTATATTCTTTTGTAACTTGCTCTATTTAGCTCAATATTTATTTCATTCAACATTTTGAGGTTCAGCCACCACGTTAACATGTACAGCTATAAATCAGTGCTATACAACATCCCCTGTATGTGTTTACCACCATTTTTCTCTGTTGCTGATGGGTCTATGGGTTGTTGCCATGATTGCTTTATTATGACGAACAGTATTGTTACGTATTTTGTATATGGGCATATACTATTTGAGTTTCTCAAGCAATTACTTAGAAATGGAATTACATGTGATGGCATAGGTTAGGGTTACTATATAATTCTGAAACTGTTTTCCAAAATAGTTGTGTGTATTCACACACCAACCTATAGTGTTTGAGAATTTCTGTATCTCCCGTGTCATGACCAACAATGGATATTACCAGACTTTTACATTTTTCGTTCATTCATTCCTTCAACAGGCATTTCTTGGGACCAGCAGTTAGCATAATGGCTATGTCGCTGGACTCCCATATAGCCAACTGCGGTTTGAGTCCCAGACCCGGTGGCTTAAACTCACACCAGGTGTGTGTGCGTGCATGCCCAAGATCCTGAGAGGAGAATGGAGGAGAAGGGATTGCGGCGTGGCCATGCCCCCGGGGGCAGGGGTATTCTTGCTTTCTGTCTCTCTGTCTCTCTCTTTCTTGTGAGCTCACGCACCCTATAGCAAAAACCTCTCAAAACAAACAAACAAACAAACAAAACAGGCGTTTGTTGCATGCCTGCTATGTACCAGATGCACTGTTAGGTACTGAGGTTGCAGAGACGATTAAGAGCTACCACCAGAATTAATATATATTCTTGTTCATTCCCTAGATTTTTCTCCAAATCATTCTGCCACAATTCTGTGCCAGCACATCCTCCCTCACTCTCACCATGCTCCTTGTCTTCACCCACTATTTCTCAGTATTAAGTGATGCCCAAGAATCTAAAAAGGCAAATCCTTCCTTGCAGGATCCACCCCTTCATTTTGAGGCCAAACAGTTGTTGCTTTTCAGTGGACAAATAGAGCAATTTTTATCAAAATCAAAGCATCAGGAAACAATGAACTTCTTACTTTATTCATTATTTTCTTCTTGTCTCCTCTCTGCAGACTGTTTTGTATGAATCCTTAGCCAGGCCTATGAGTAGAGAACAGTAGTTTATTAAACTGGTCAATATAATATGCCTTAAATACAGACATCAGCCTTGCATTCTTGTAACAAAAATCAATCAACCTCCATAGAAGCTTTTCCCAAGCTATTTTGCACAAAAGCCCCTTAATTTATAATTAGAAGAAGTCAGCTAAACAGCTTATTTAACTGAATTGTTGAGTATAATGGTATGACATTTTTAAAAAAATCTTTCAAAAAAATAAGCACACTATTTTCCCCCAAAACATTCTGATAGCAGGCAGTGCCTCCTCAAGACTATCTTTTACATAACAGCCTTCATCAACTTTTTAAAAAAGTTTATTTATTTATTTCTTCCATGAGAAAGAGAGAGAGATCACCCCCAACAGGGTCTTGATGCCGTGATTCACCCCACCCCTAGCCAGCCCCAGACCATAGACATGTGCATGACTGGTGTACTCAGGGAGGTCTCTACATATGAACCCAAAGCCCTTCCCATATGGGTTAACCTCACAGAGGGTTACGTTTTACTGCCATACCACTACCCAGTCCCAACTTTCTACCAACGTTCAACTATTCAAATTTCCTATGCTACATTCAATTTTAAAATGTGACCATAGGACAGGGGCTGATCATTCATAAGGGCTGTCACCTAACAATGTTCCCTATTAATCCTAGGCTACCTTGGAGGTTGACAGCATCATTTGGGTGGGTTCCTTATTCAACATCATTCATCCATTCATTTACAGATCTTTATTGAGTAAATGTGCCAGGCACAATATTAGGTAC